GGATATGTCTAGAAATGTATGTTTTGTTCTGATATCACATGTTTTACGTTATATATACATTTGTGACCTATTTACTAACTCTCTCATAACTTAAAGCCTAATTCAGCCACAGAAACTTGCTCGCACGCAAGTCTTGATTCACCAGAAATGGTGTTCTCAGCATATTAGTCGGTCGAGGTGTATGACAGGATAAGGTGTCCAATACGGATTTTCTCTCATATTGGTGCCACCTCGCCATTCTGTCGCACGCCTTTCCACAGACGAGGTTCTGGAAACCGCTCACTGCGGTATAATCAATATGTCGGTTATGCAGAAAATGCTGTTAATCAATTCAGAAAACCAGGTAATGGCAGGGTAACTATTGTGTCTACAGTAGAGGGAATTATGCCATGAAAAAAATTAGCTACGTTGTTTTTAACCAGTTTAATATTTCAGTCAGTATAGCGACGGGCTACGAGATGGACGACTGAGTTCGAATCCCGTTAGGGGCAAAATATCTCTCTTCTCTAAAATTTCCATACCGGCACTGGGCCCCACCCAGCTTCCTATCCAACGCGCACCGAGGGAAATTTCCCAGGGGGTAAAGAGGCCAGAGCGTGAAGCTGAGCACTTACGTCCATCTAGTGCCGAGGTGAAGAGTGTTGGAGGTGTACCTCTCCACTCCTCCATATGTCTTTATGGCATATTGCTTAATTAAGTAAGCACAAGGATAATTTGGCCTTTTCTAAATGGAAAAGTAGCGGCTGCGGTCTAGAAAACCGAGATTAACGGCTGTGGGGATCCGTTGCACTGACCACGCGACACCCTCTATCCGCTAAAGTTGGTACTGACTTCGCCGAATAGCGGCGGTTGCTCGGTCGGTATAGTTCGCTTGCGGACTAGAGGTCACGGAGTTCTTTAGCATTTAAGTTCTGATTTTATTTGCTTCATTTGTTGACTTTAGGGAAGAGTCTATTCAACTGAATTGATCGAAGCACATTAATGAATGAATTCATAGGAATTAGATCTGGTGCTGAAAAAATACTCTGTGCGTACCAAGAAATTTGTTCCACTAGGTTAGGTTGCATTTCGTTTTGAATTCTGATTTAAGTTTAGTCTGTTTAACTTACTAACAGTCAAGAATGTCCAGTGCTGAAGAATAGACTTTAAATCCATTAGTTCATTTATCAGCGAAACTGTATTGTCGGAAGAGCAAACATAGTATCCTTATGCTCTTATCTGCTTCTCCTAAGTCGACTTCAAAGACATTGATTTCCTACTGTCTTTTAGAACAATCGCTCAATTTACCGGTTGATTTCCTTACCATAGTTCAACGGTGATGTTGATTTTGCTCTTAGTTTTCTTATTTTTTTTTACCAGTGAGGGAAACGTCGCCGGCATTTTGGATGTCCAAGCTGCTTCCATCTTCAAGACCAAAGAAAGTATTGTGAATAGGGAGATTAGGGGCTGTTTTGATAGTATTTTGATTTGTAATAAAATTTATATCAGCTCATCGGTCCACACTAGACACGAGTGCTCACTCTTTCCTTCTCTGTTTGCTGAGCCAAAGCATGAACCCTCGTCAATTAGATCCTGAAGATGAAAGCAGCAAGTATTTCCGAAACACCTATATATTTTTAAAATTGTTAGTGGGGTGGGACTAAGTCCCTTGTAAGCGGCCTCCGTAGTCTAGAGGTAACGTTCCCACCTCATGACTCGTGGTACGCGGGTTCAAATACCCGGCGGAGGTCGTCGAATTTTGAAGGGCGGAAAAATTCAGGGAAAAAGTCCTCCGGGAGGGACTTTAAGCTATGTGCCCCGTGTCGTAACTTTACGGCACGTAAAAGAAGCTCATATCCCCAAAGGGGATCACTGAGCCAAATTCCAGGATGTTTCCCGCCCAACAATAGTCTCTAAGGCCTCTGATAGATGGGGGAAGCATTATAGACACCGCTAAGCAAGTGACCGAACTCGCTTGCTCGGCGGGACTGATGGTACGCACCATCAGGAGCAGGGAAGCACAATAGATCAAACTGGTCGCTGTGCATGGGGAAACCCACCCTCTCTAACTAACTAACTAACAACTAACTAACTAACTAACTAACTAACTAACTAACTAAGTCCCTTGTACTGCGGCCACTTCTGGCCTATTGTACCAGCCCCAGATGATAGGTGAGGGTGACTGTGGAGCAATTGCTGGAATAAAGATTGGCAGGGGAAACCGAAGTACTCGGAGAAAACCTGCCCCAGCGCCACTTTATCCACCACAAATCCCATTTGGCCATACCCGGGATCGAAGCGGGCCGCCGCGATTGGAAGCCAGCGACTAACCGCTTGGGTTATGGCGCGGCCACGTCGAAGACTTGAAAATGAAAAAAAAAAAATCTTGTTCTTACCGCTACTCGAACTCCGATCCCTAGGCTGTCCGGCTCCTAACCAGTCGCTATACTGACTGAGCTATCCCAGCTCCTTTGGCAAGGGGTGGATACTGGAATCGAGTGCTTAAATAAATCTGTATATGTATAAAATTACTTCCGGAGTCACATGGCTTAATTGTTTCTAACTTTATAAAAGTGGTTTAGCTAACTCAATTTAACAACTTTATTTTCCAAGGCACAGCCACGGACATGATAATACCATAATCCGGGTTTCTTTAGGAAGGAAAATAAGATTAGGGCTCAAAATAGCGAACTGAGGAGCAAGAAATATACGTTACAGAAGAATATCCAAGACAGACGACTTTAATGACGATGTTATTAGCATTGACATGGGTCAGACACTTTTCTCACTAAAATTCTGACACACACACAGATATATATATATATATTGTCACGTGTTTAGTGACTTGACACAGGATTTTGGTTTAGTAATTGTATTTATTGAAATCTTACAAATCGTAACAAGTAATTATGGCGCTATTGCTGATCTTTGATAGATCCTGAGAAGGGAGAAGTTGTGTGCAGACAGTTTGCTTGCACTTTGAACTTACTGCACTCTTAGATATATTATGGACATAATATTTTCTATTGTTATTATTAGGCATTTGTTCACATATCATTCAGTACTGTCCTCAAAAATTTCCCTCATTGGCACTTTTGAAAATCCTCACAGCACAAAGACAAAAATAACACCGTCTAATGTGACTATTTAAGTTTTATTTTTGTCTTTGTAATTGTTAGTGTGACGGACCAGAATGAAACAAATCAAATCCTCATAGTACACATCATATTTAATAATATACGTGAATTTGGGTTTTCAGAAGAGCGAATATTCATTTTGTGGTCTTCTGTGTTGTAACACCGTGTAATCTGAAAGGTAGATATTAGTGTTTCAGAGGAACATGCCAGACATAGCACATAGGTCACTACATGCCTGAGACCTGTATTCACTCAGTAACATAATATCTCCTAGGGCATCGCTTACAACGAGGATTTCCGTTGAAACTGATAGGGGCCTACACATCTCCTATGGCCGCGATCCGTGTGTATGTTTACTTGACTTCAGTAAATATTGCTTCAAAATACTAATTATGACACTTTTTATCTTTTATTTGCGTGATTATCTAATTTACTGGCACACGCGGTAGCTTAATTAGTTGAGACAATATGCTACAACCCAGAAGTTCGCGGGTTCCATTCCCGATGAAGTCATTGGATTTTTTAATTCAACTAATCCTTCCAGCCGCACTATAGCCCTAGGGTCCACTCAGCACCTAACATAAATTAGTACCAGGATTCTTCCTGGGGGTTAAGAGCGATCAGCACATAAGGCTGAGAACCTCACCGCCCTCTGTGAGCTTCGACGTCTCACAAACCTATGGGCCTCAACAGCCTGTTACATGCATAATTTTACCTTTTCATCTAACTTACTCCCTCCCCCCCATCTCTCTCAATATTACCTCAAGATTCAAGATTGCTGATACCAAAGCTCGAAACTTAACTGGATGTAACTCATATCCTGACGGCTTGTGTCCGTCCTTAAGAGCCAACCTCGCACTGCCTTGATATATCCTCCTTCATCTTCTAAGTACTGGCTGTCCAAGTCTTTCACCGAGTGTCACGGTTTAACAGTTACCACTACTACCCTCTGTTCTGTAATTGTGGACTTAGAATCTCTGCCCGGAAACCCCGTACTCTTCAACTTCGCTTTCCCGGGTTTTAGCACTCCCTCCGAAAATATATTGGCTTTGGCTCCTTAAAAATATCACGACCACTTCCTTACTCATTGTTTATAAACCATCATTGAGAATCATCTTCCCATGCAACAATTATAAACTTTGTACTTGAGAAAGCATCGTGAAATAACACAAACATCTGGTTTAAGTTGTTCTGCGGATAACATTCCGGATCGATATCCCATCATCCTTTGCTCTTGTATTGTAATCTTACAACAGGTCATTATCTCTCTGTAGTTGGTCTCATTATTTAATCACGTTGTTTCAACTGCAAAAGCTCTACAGCGTCACGTGAGATAGGAAGATAATAATAGCGAGTGAATAAGAATTTCAAAATAGGTGATTGTGGACTATTCGAAAGTAATACCAAGAGGTGTGCATACCTGTAGCACTCTAGGCTTATACCTGTGTATCTCGAAGGTGCTTACTGTGAATCTCCTCCAGAACATTGGCTATCCCGAGTTCTTTTGTGAATTCACTCAGTCCCTCAAAACAAATTCTGGATAATACCTCTTCCTTCCAGATCCTTTCCAATTTATTAATCACCCTACTATTCGTCGCTATATGATCTCAGTTGCTTACAGCGCAGTCAAATAACCCACACCTTCACCTAGGAAGTAATATTCTGGTATTTAGCTGGAGAGACTGGGGAAAACAACGGAAGTTTTCATTCACAACCCAGGATTCGAACCAAATAAAACCCCTCGAGTGCAAATCTTAAGCATTACAGTTTCGTTATCCTAACTGATCCCTGCCTCTTAGGCCTACATTTTCCCATTAATCCTTGCTCTCATATCTCTGTTGAGAGGTTCCGGACGAAATTACAATCTGTTTCCATTTGTTACAGCATTGTTTTGCCATTTCCTATCGGCGAGAAAACCAGCGCCAGTACGAACTGCGAGCCAGCACGGAGTCTGACTGCAAGACTTGGATAGAAGCTATTAGAGAGGCAAGGTAACTCCCAAATCCAATAACTAAACTTTAGCATCACTTCAGATGGCTTTGGTTTTGTAAACAACTTGGAATCGTACACGAATCTCTCTTGTAAGTTTCTGTTTACCTCTAACTCAGTAACATAATGAGATACAAGCTTTCTCATCCCTAGGATCATGTTACTGTGGCGCAAGTCTTAAAACGGCAACACCAGAATGTATCGCATTTTCACGATGTTGCATGTATGTGTATGTGTGTCAACCTTTCCATAAAGTTATTTCTGGGCTTGACTAATTAAGCACTACGCCATGAACACGTATGGGGGAGTGGATGTACAGATCCACATCTTCCTGACGTCGGCACCAGCTGGAGGTGAGCGGTCAGCTTCACTTCCCGACCGATTTACCCCCGGGAAAAGAACCACCGGTACCCATTGGATATAAGGTTGGGTGGACCCCAGAGCCGGTCTGGACGACTTGGAGAAGAGAAAAATTTTTAACCTACCTGGACTTGAAATCCGACCCCTCAGTCGTCCAACCCGTTGCCAGTCGCTATACGGATTGCCTTTCCATAAATTTCCTTAAATAAAAAAGTGAAAACAATATTGTTGTAAAATATATGTTTGTTAAATTATACGTACTTGATTGTTAATACAGATATTATTAAAACGAAATATATGTTCTTCTGTTAACTAGGCCTTAGCCACAAATGAAGCATGTGAGAATATTTGACGATAATTTTTTAACATTAATCTTTCCTTTAATTTGGTTAATTGATCGTTAACTTATTCTGCTATCTTCAGAATTGATTTAAAGCTGCAATATTTTACAAATATGAGAATTTACTGAATATTCTAAGAAGCAAAAAGTAAAGCTGTCCTTGTACCAGGCCGTGAAGGCACATAGGGTTGTGAGACGTTGAGGGTCCTACACTATCTAGACAATTGGCACAAAGATGGCGGTAAGGTTGTCAGCCTTACGCGCCTGCCGCGCTTTACTCCCCAGGAAAATTAATTAATTCCCGGTACTCATTTCTGTTAGAGGCTGAGTAAACCCCAGGGCCTAGTGAGGCTGGAAGGATTAGGTCAACTAAAAAAAATTCAATTACCTCATCGGGACTTGAACCCGCAACCTTCCGGCTTGTAGCATAGCCCCTCAACCAATATTCTAAAGACAGGAAAAACTTTAGTGCACGTATTGTTTCGGCTAGATATATTTTCCTCTTTTTATTCGTTCGTGGTGACGCTGTAGCTATTGCGTTAACAAGTTAACAGCAAAGAATTTTATTCAACCAAATTTAATTATTTCCGATTGAGAACTGTTATTACCCCGTCTACTTTACAAAAAACTATACTCCAATATATAGATATATGAAACCACCATTTTCCAAGTTTTATATGGTTTTTAAATGTTGTCCTTTGCTCATAAAGAAGTGCTCAGAAACTGTCTGAATACAAGAAAGAAGAAATCATTGGGGAAATCGGGATTTTTATGATAAGCAATTTCGTGATTTATATACCTCATTATCGATCACAATGGTCAAGCAGTCTAAGGCGCTTACTGTCTTGGATCATTAGAACATGATGACCGTAAGTTTGAAATCATATAATGTGAGCTACTAAAAGCGTCGTTAAATAGTCCATGAATAAATACGTCACAATCTGAATACATAACGCCATGAAAACCTCAAATATTATTTCGGATTTTCAGTATTCTAAATAACTAAATCGAAAAAAAGAGCAGTTTTTAAAATACTGAATTTCATGCAAGAGATATTCTCTAAAGAAAATCGCATTACCGATGCGCTGAGGCGTTTGATTTAATATTATATTCTGCGTGGATAGCTCCATCAGTTCTAGATATCTTGTCTGCTTAGTTACGATTCTCTCATTTCATATGGATGTCATATTTTGAGACCATCTACTAAAGAAAATTTTTTTAAGTCTTGAAAAGTTGAACGTCGTAGAGAAAATTACTTTCACCTCTTTAGAAAGGAATTAAGGGTGACAACCTGCGTACTTCCGCCATTTTGACAAGAAAGGATGATAAACTAAAGGAAAGAAAACAACATTCTAATGCTGTTTTCTAATAAATATCAATTACTACAATAGGACTTGGTTTATTTTAAATATACGCTACAGATCTTATAATGTTTAAAATATAAACTAAATTTTATACATACTTAAGCAATTCACTTATGTTTTTTAAAGACTTTAAAACTTCTTTTGAAGGTACTGTCCGTAGAGTGACAGATTAATGATAGAAGGGGCGACATATGGCAGGAGAGAAGCCATTCACAATTTAAGGCGGTTCGAAGCTCTTCTGTAGATGCTAGCAAAATTTTAAAGAATACTGACTTCTGGGATGTTACGTCGTGTAGTTCAATACAAGTCCATCGACGTTACGGAGAAACCTGCCACTTCTCTTTTCAGCGCCGAAAAGTAAACCAAGCAAGCAATCATCAAGTTGCAAGCAGTGCCAATAGAGCTGGCTGCTTGTTCGATTTACTCAACAACCCTGAACATTGAGGCAGTACGTTCCTTCAAAACATAGTTGAAATTCTATCGAAGTATACGGCGTCATAAACCAGAAGATAGTACTATTCGTGATCACCGCTGTGAGCACCTCAAACAAGGACTTAGTGGTTTATGCAATAGGAACTCAGGTTTTAATTGCTGTTTATATTAACTTAATGATTCGGAAGTTTAATTAGCCTATCAATCACACAATCATATAAACGGTACAGGATTCTGATTTAGAATTAATTTTATTTTTCTCAAGAAAAGGAGCCACTCGTGATTTACAGTTAATTAAATCTGAATATAAGGCTAATTTTTTTACTGGCTCTACATTCCCCTTGGGCCCTGACCTCTAATTTTCGGTTTCATGATCATTTTACAGACGGTAGGACTCCTTGGACGAGTGATCAGCTCGTCGCAAATCCTCTATCTAAACACAGGACAACACAAACACAGAATAAACACGCGTACCGAACAAACATGCCTTGTGTGGGATTCGAACACACGATCCCGACTTCCGAGCGAGCGAAAAAAGTACATGCCTTAGACCGTTCGACTCCCGTGACGGCGTAAGGCTATTAACTTTCATATGAAATCTAAAAGTTCTTGACGATTATATATCAATGCAATGATTGACTTTTGGACATCATCCATTGACTTCTTTTTATTTAGAACGACGTTTCGGAGACTGGACTCCATGTCCGTTCTCATTAAATAGCTTATTCCGTTATTAGTCCCCGAAATAGGGACTAACTATATCGATTGGTCCCATCTGAGGAAGCTTTTTACCTGAGGACGGAGACAGATTCCAGTCTCCGAATCGCCGTTTTAAATAAAAATATATTTCTGAATGATGTCTCACAAGTCAATCATTATGGTAGCTTTCATGCCAGTCTTCCGCGGTAGTGTAGCTGGTTCAGGGCCTATGCTACAAGCTATAAGGTCGCGGGTTCAAATCCCTATGAGGTCATTGGATTTTTTTTCAATTGACCTAATCCTTCAAGCCGCACTATGGCCCTGGGGTCGACTCAGCCTCTAACAGACATGAGTACCAGGAATTAAGTAAATAATTTTCCTGAGAGTAAAGCGCGGCCGGTGCGTAAGGCTGACAACCTTACCGCCATCTTTGAGCCGATTGTCTAGATAATGTGGGACCCTCAACGTCTCACAAGCCTATGGGTCTTCATGGCCTGTTATATGGATATCTTTGCTTTCTTTTTTCCTTCCCATGCCAGCCTTCAGTTCAATATCCCTTTTCTTATTGCCAGCTTCAACAAGTTGCTTCTGCAGAAGGAAGAACTGGAACAGAAACATCTGCACCTGCTGCAGATAGTCGAGAGCGAGAAGACTGCCAAGTGGCAGTACACGCAACAGTGCGAGGAGCTGGCTTCAGAGATTAAGAAGCTTCGTGCCGAGGTAAGTTCCACTTCCACGATACAAACAAAACGCCGGTTTCTGTTTCTTTATAACTTTGGTGCGTGGTGTTATCTGTGTAAAGTATCCTGCCCTTCCACGTCTTCACACTATGCGCTAAGCATCTGCAATATTCTGTAACTGAGAATCCTTCTAAGTTCGAGGTTCTGGGTAACATTTCATAACATACCGCGAGGAGGTCCTAGGTTAGAACATATAACATGTAACTACCTGAGAATGGACACACAATACTACAAGAATATTACGTTATAAACTAACAATTTAGTGCCCGGTATATAACAGTGACCTTATGATTAATCAATAAATAATTATACAATCGAACAATATCGCTGGCGTGTTGTGTACAGAAGAGGGATAAGTGTAATTAGCGTTACGAACTAACATTTTCCCAGTTTATAACAGTGACCTTGTGATTAATCAATAAATAATTACACAATCGAAAGAATTTATATGGTGCTTTGTATACAGGATATGTATGAACGTAACCAATTGAAATAAACTCAAAGGGACGATTGTATCTGTGCGTTCGCATACAGGAACTGATGTGTACCTGTGAAGCAGAATATCTAGTGCATCTGCCGGGGTAGGAACCAGCAACTACCCGAATAAGTATAAGGTTGTTTTATTGCTAGTGGGGTGGGACTAAGTTCCTTGTACTACGGCCACTTCTGGCCTATTGTAGCAGCCCCAGATGATAGGTGAGGGTGATTGTGGATCAACTGGTAGAATGAAGATTGGCAGGGGAAACCGAAGTACTCTGAGAAAACCTGCCCCAGCACCACTTTGTCCACCACAAATTCCACTTGACCAGACCCGGGATCGAACCCGGGCCGCCGCGGTGGGAAGCCAGCGACTAACCGCTTGAGCTACGGCGCGGTCAAGTATAAGGCTTAGTAACAGTTTTGTTAACCTGCGCGTTTGTTTGTTGAAGGAACGAATGATTGAGAATGGAAAGCTGGTCCGGTAGCTTGAACTTTATCTCACTCTCTCTGCTTTAGAGAGGAAAGTTCATAGAACATGTTCGTTCACAGAAATAACATATATGTGAGCCAAGCTAAAACTTTGCGCCTTTGGGAAATGACTTCATTCCGGTGAATTTGTTGCTACTCGGACACATCTTTCAACGTTCCATGAGCTGGAGCAAGCTTTGTAATTGAAGGCGTCCCATTGGTACCTCGACTGCCAGGAATTGGCATAAATCAGAGTGGAGGAGAAACGCAATCTCGCATATCTTGAAATGTTCCTACGTGTAGTGGTGAAGGGGGGGGGGGAGCTGCAGGCACGAGTAGACGCTACTCTGTCATGGATGTATGTACTCTGATCCCGTTTGATGAAACGTATAAACTTAATCAAATAAGATTGTCGAGGATCTCACTACGACGATGATTTGTTCTAAAGGTTTACCAATGTTTTGGATGAGCCTACTGTTGTCATCTTCAGGATTGGAGGGTTAACCAAGACAGAACCCACTAAAAATCCAACAGCAAGCAGAGCGAGACACGTGCGAAGAACTTGGTTTAGATACAAGCATGAAAGAAGCCCGAAGAGAACAAATGTGAACAGAGAGGAAAGTATATTTAACCAGACTGTAAGGCGTCACACCATAGAAGAGATTCGCCGCCGTGAGAAACGCATATCCAAAAATCATATTACTGTCTTCTGGGTTGTGATACCAATTAATTTAGTAGATAGCTACAAATGTTTCGAATTAAATTGTTGCCTCCATCTACAATGTAAATGGAGGAAGCGGTCTGTTCCGTAACTTTCGTACCTATAAAACAAATTACACTGTGTGGCATCTCATAAGGATGTTTGTTTGTTTGATGTTCTTCGCTTGTTTTCCTCAGCCCCTCCAGGCATATACCTTAGTAGTCTCTTAATAAGGACATGACCTCTTCCATCAATATCATTTCCACTTAATTCGACGCCATATAATCTGGGTTACTGACAAAACAAAAAACAAACTCCGTGGCCTGTAGTACGCAAGCGAATTATACCGACTGAGCACCGCTGCTTGTCGGCGAAGTTAGTGCCAACTTTTGCGGATAGAGGGTGTCACGTCGTCAGCGCAACGGATCCCCACCACCGTTAATCTCGGGTTTCTACACCGGAGACGCTATTTCCTTGAAATAGCTCCTCAGTTACCCTCACGAGGCTCAGTGGACCCCATTCCAGGCCCAATACTTCTCAGAAAATCTGGTAAAGCCGGGAATCGAACCCGGACCTCTGGATCTGTAACCAGGAACTCTGGCCACTAGACCACATAGGCGGTCGGGTTACTGACAGATTCGTTAAATAAATTAAAGGAAATCAATGTAAGTAAACACATCTAAGAAGTTCATAATCTTATCACAAAATAAATAAGAATTTGGGGTTGTTTACTAAGACTAAGAAGGTCCTATATACGAGTATAGTGGGTAAGAACAGCTCGGTTTCGGAATTGTAACACAGACGGAAGGATACGAAATCACTTCCTGTTAGTCTGGTAAGGTTGTTCTCAAGTTATAAAACTAGCCTCCAAATGTGCCACAGTTCCTCGAATGAGAGGGTATAAGCGTCTTTCCGAAGATAAGATATATCGAAAGTGGCTGACGGATTTATCAGAATAATTGGCTAAGAATGTGACCCATGAACAAGACTTGCAATTTACGATCCTCCAGGATCCATAAACGCGGTCTCCGATGACATCGAGAATCGAAATTCGATTCCTGAACATTCAGGATATGACGCAAGCACTGTAACTAGAAGCCTGGATAAGGTGAACTGTAACCGGAAAATTAAGGTTGCAATATTTTACAGTCTATCTGGGCACAGACCGTGCACGTGCTCTAGATCTCTATTAGAGCTGCCTCAATAATAGTCCTTCTGGAGAATCTGATAGTCTCTCGGATAGTCAAGAGATTCGCGCCATCTATGGAACCGTCTTCGCTACATCCAGCCACTTTATCCCATCTTGAGCCAGATGAATGTATGTTACCCCAATTTTCATCTTAATGTTATCCTCCTCCTCCTCATCATCATCAGTAATCTGTCAGACGACAGGTCCACAGTCTCTTCCAAAACAATTCCTCCACTTAATGCGATCTAGAGCTTTCTCCTTCAAATAACAGTATCCTCTTCTGTCCCCAAGGTCATCCAGCATCTTCTTACGTCTTCTTCCTCGTCTTCTTGTCACTTCTATCCGCCCCTCTATCTTTCCTTCAATAACTTCTTTTAGAAGGCAGTTTCTGCGTAAAACATGACCAATCCAATTAGCCTTTCGTTTTCTTATTTCATGTAGGATATTCCTCTGCTCACTGACTCTAATTAACACTTCTTCATTTCTCACATAATCGGTCCAACTGATCTTCTCCATTCTTCTCCAACACCACATTTCGAAACTTTCCAGATGTTTCTGATCTACTGCCCTAAGTGTCCATGTTTCAGCCCCATACAGAGCTATGCTCCAAATGTAGCATTTCACTAGTTTCTTCCTCAAATTTATCCTACTCTAGACAAATATTTCTTAAGTGGTCACCACCCTCCAGATTTTCTGACCCAGTTTCGTACATTTCTGAGCTTGCGTGTTACATGTCCCGCACACATTATCATCCTTCATAACATAAATATAATTATATTTACGTTTATTTTAATTTAATATCCAGATTGCTGTAACAGTAGAGCTTGGACGTGTATTGGGGAGGTATCCAGTTTCAATATGGGCCGGGTATTCTGACAGGTTTCCTCAGCCTGTACGAGTGAATGCGTGAACAGACGGGGTTTCAATCGGTATTTGGATTTATTGAACACTTACAGATAGTAACTACACCAAACCATGGCGCTATTGCTAATTCACACACTCTGTAGTTCATTACAGCACGTAGTAAGACTTCTCAGTCTGCTGTGTCTTCACCGGTCGTTGTCTGGTAACTTCTTCCAACTCCGTAGATCCCTCAACTATTGTGTTCACGGCTTCACGTCCTCGCGGGCTGTCACTTATCTCACCGCAGCTCCCGGGTTGGCTTCCAACTGCCGAAGTCTAAGCTCAAATCGACTCCACTCCACTGACTGTCGTCACAAGACTCAATCGTAATCGCAGCTGCTCCTCGTTATATAGGCTCGGCGCGGACCGAACAGAAGACCTCTACCAACAGTTCTATTGTCGCGCCACCTAGCTATCGCACGGATCTCTTAGAGAACACCCCTTCCCAGTTATTCCACTGTTACGTATTACGAATCTGTTGCATAGCAACGGTCGTGTTTGCAGAGACGTTCCCTAGCAACAGCTGTCTTTTCTAGCTTCACAGTTCTTGCCTTAATAAAAAATGCCACAGTATTGACTATTCATGATGATCTTTAATTCGGCATTACGTGTAGGCCTGTACCAGCAGTCGAATGAAAACTACAAGGATATTGAATGGAAACCCGTGACCAAGCGAGCTTTGAGATCATTATGACGGTGAATATGAAGATCAGTGTCCTCTGGAATGTGATGCCTTGTGGTCTGATAGGTTACCAGTAGGTATCCTGAAAATGGAGGTGAAATATTCCTCCAAAACAGTGGGAACTTGCTACCGTACAACACCTCCTTATATCCAAGAATAGCGGTTTGAACAATGGACACTTGCTAGATGATGCCGTGGCATTTAGTCGCATCGACCGAAGTCAACCGTGACAAGATCTCAGTCAGGAAAGACAGTAAGTACCCTGGCGAGATTCGAATCATGTACTTCCCGAATATGAAGCACAAGTGGTAGCTACTATTTTCTGTCTAGAACACATTTCAAGGTACGTCGTACCGGGAATAGGTGAAGTTACGGAACAATACCTGTAGCTTGGTGGTGTTGGTTTCCACTGTATATAACACAATGTAGTCACCTTTTAACGACAACGAAATAAGATACATCACTATCTAATGATGGCCCAACCTCAATTAAGTTTGAGATACGTTATACTGCATGAAAGTCACTCTGGGAAGGAAACCTTGGAGGAGCACTTTGTGACAAAGTTAGGATCTCATTCTTGTAACTACGTTGTACCAACTGCAGTTATTATTTAGCCTCGATTTACTTCAGATTATGATTATTTACGGAAAGGATAGAGGAATGGGCGGATATAGCCTGTTTTTGTGTTCTACCCCAGTCTGTAGCGGTTGGAAAATGTACAGAAACCTCATGGTATATGCTGCCTTGGCTGAGCCATCTACCGGAAATCTTCAGAATGCAGGTCTGCTGCTTTAACACTGAGCTTAGTCTGTGCAGTCTTCCAGATCAATATGCCTTTTTTCCTCTCTAGAGAATGAATTACTGAACCTGAAAAAAGGGCATGTAGCAAGTACTACCTTTGAGAAACGTTAAGCTGGGTGAAAGGAGAATAGCCTTGTCTTTGTAAACATACAACATTTAGGATGTTTCAAAAGATAGGCTATGTAATGTAACAAAGGTAAGATGAAGACTGCAAAGAAAATATCTTCCTAGAAATAACGCGCTGTAGTCCAGTGTAAGTTCCCCCAAATTTCGGAGAAATCACTCCACACCAAGTTCTCTCAATCTACTTTCACTAGTCTTTACTTGGTAACAGCTCTCCACAATGGCTATTCCGCTGCAGTGACTCCTGGTAACGAATCTTACCAATGGAGATTCTTCAGCTTCCGTTGCCCGTTGGTTAACACCCCACAATTGAACCCTCAGCTGCCAGTTTCGAAGACTGGACTGAATTCAATTCATCTGCTCCCAAGTTCATATCCTGTCAGGGCGGCATCTCAAAATGCGACTCAATTCCCCTCAGCTAAACACTTCTTCATAACCGTTTTTCACGAACCACACAGAAAACACAGCCACTCTATTATTCGGAAGGCATGTTTACAGCCCCGTTGCATAGCAATTGAAGCTACTCGATTGTTGCTTACGTATTCGTTGCCGCGGGAATGTGTTTACCTATTCGTTGTCTAGCAATGAACGGCTATTCTGATTTCACTATTCTGATCGCCGGAGTAAAAATCTAAAAGCCAACAAATTTATATATGAGTTTAATGCAAGTCTTAAGGTACGTCCACATTACTCGTGCTCGTCAGGAGACTCGTCTGGCTTTTATTTGTGCTCATAAATCTTCGTCCACACTACTTCAGTTGCTCGCCAGGCTTCGGCGCGTGAGGATCCGTATATTTACTCGTAGTGTGTATAGGCTGTAGTCGTATTTTAATTCATTGGCTATAGTTATTAAATTATAAATTTAAAATTTGCTTGTCTCGTGACTTGTCATGTCGACCATATTACTCGCGAGCATAGCGAGTCACACGAACACGAGTAATGTGGACGCGCCTTTATACAGCTCACTGGCGCGTGTTTGCTACAAGGAAACACCACCCGAAGGAATTCAAGTAGATAGATATTTTATCTCGAATTATGCAGTACACAAGAAGATAAGTAACATTTGGAATGCTCGGCGCAAAAGACTTGAAAGACTTATCAGAACAACATCTTAATAAGTTTGCCTTATTTTCCAGTGCTTTGTGTTCCCACCTCTTTGCTTAAAGGAAACAGCTAGAAGGAATTTACATAAAAAACTTTCTACAAATTTCTTTGTGGAAGAATGAGAAAACAAGTATTTTATCTGCTACTGACATTGATGTTTCAAATTATAACGACAGTTTTGAAACAAAACATTTTCTGTCCCTCTTCGCTGCGGTATTGACATGTACCAAATTATTATTCTCTTTGCTTATAAGAGGAACCAACTCGCGCTTGCTGACAGACTGCAACACCAGCGTTATGTCTTTTTTATTCTTCTCGTTACTTTGTCTTCACACCGAAGGCTCTACTTTTTGTTTTATTGTCAATTATACTTCGTCTTCTTTGTCTTCTGTTGCTCATATTCTAACTTTCCTGAAGCCTTATCATCCATACTTGCTTTTCCTTCTAGTTTCTATTCATTATCATTACACTGAGCCCTTAAAGACTGAATATCTTCTAATTAACAATTCTGTACGTACCTCACAGAAAACACGTTACATGTACCATACAAAGTTCAGCTGGTTAATGGTTTTCGGGGAAAACCCGCTGTTTGTTGTGAGAACCATACGAAACACCCAAGTACACTCTGTGGGCAGAACGCAGAGTTTTATTATATTAAAGCAGGTGGTACAAATAGTAACTACTTGGCTTTCTAGAGTTAAACTGACAACCTTTGCAGTTTCGGGTCGTCTCATGTAGTCTTATTTCACATTAATTACTAATATTCTGGATCTTCCACACAAGAACATAAACAAGAAAATGAATATTCCTTTCATGCGAGCGGACTGCTGTACTGGTAACATTTTGGATGTATTCTATTCGAATATAGACTGGGATATTGGCTGTCCTGACTGGTGGTTTTCATAGTTTTCCTCAGTCCCTCCAGTAAAATGGCAGGTTAGTAACTCATTCAGATGAAGTATGATACCTTTTACGCCCTTTCCACTTCGTATACCCTACCATTTAATGATGTGAAGTCAAGCTACTGGTATTGTAAAGTAATCCTTTGAGTAAAAGGCAATATGTGGCGCGCAGCTGTGCCTGCATATTCTTTTCGTTGTGTAAGAAGTTGAGAGCGTTCCAGATCATGGACCAAATTAGAATAAATAAGTTTAAGCAGACTAAAGCAGATTAAACGCAATTCCGTTTTACAAACATTTACATTTACAAACACCAGATAGGGTGTACAAGCCAAGCATACCACAAACCATCTGTGAGAGCTAAGACAAAATATGAAAATATTAAAAACTCCACAGGTATGGATTCTTGCACCAGAGGACTATCAGAATAGAAGTCATAATTCGAGAGATAAATTCTCCATATCGTACCAACACAAAAAAACACTATTTTTTCCAACTTAATCTACACTGGATAGAGTTATAGATTTTTTTTTTTTACATATTTCACACAGTCAGTATTGAGTATTCATTGTGAAATATCTATTCTCTAGTTTTTGGAATACCGGACGATGGACAAAGACCAAAAGTCCAGCAATTCTGAGTATTATACACCACTTAGAATGCACTTGTTCTCTCATAGTTCAAAGTTAACCTGTACTTATTTCACAGTGCCCGTCGAGTGGGCCTAAACACGGACGAAATCATCGTGTTGGACAAGTCGGAAACCTACAGGGAAGCCGCGATTTAATGATCTCTGGGTCTGCCTACATGCGACCTAGCAACTGCAAACGCAGTTGCCAGTTCTTCATTTGAACTCGATATATATCGAAAATGCAAATTTAGTCAGGGACATTGGGGGAATAGAGAGGCCCACAAACAAATAACATAACTAGCAACGCCTCTAGCCTACATGTCACAGTCGGCCAATTATGTTTCGAGACGGACATTGTTCAACGCTGATATGGAAGATTATTTAATTGCGACTGGGATGTAGTTCAAAATTAGCCGAAATTTGGAACACATTGCCACTTCAAACTGCCTAATATCTTCAGTGTGTGTCTGACTTCCTGGCGACTTTCCTTTCTCCTTTCTTCTGTGAGAAATAAAGAGGACACGAATGCCTACTGACTGCTCATGATTGCTTTATGTTTCAGCTATGTGCGCTGAAGAAGGAGTGGCGTCCAGTACCCTCATACAGCACCAACGCAAGTCTCAACAGTGGTCTGAGTTCTCAACCCAGTGCAGGGGGCTCAGGGGCGTCCACTGCTACCAGCTGCCAGGAGACGATGGAACTTCGGAAGATCAAGAAGGTACAGAGTTTCTTCAGGGGCTGGCTCTGTCGCAGACGCTGGAAGCAAATAGTGGAGCAGTACATCAAATCACCTCACGCAGAGAGCATGCGCAAACGGAACAGGTAAAAATCAGTCACGTAAAGTTACAAATGTTGTCCGCTGCACATTTTAGTGTTGAGAAAGACAAAGAGACAGTCACTTACGGCTAAGCGAGAAGAAAGCGTTACGGCTTGTTTGAAATGACTTTCCTGGAATTCGCCTGGATATGCTGAGGAATACCACTGAGTATTTCGGACAAGAGAGTCAATAGTAACTTCGTGATTCGAGTGGGACCTCCCGAATACAAATGAAGCACTTTACTATTAGACAGACCTTCTAGTTCTTAGGGATCATTTCCAAGACTGTTTCTATCTTTGGATTAATACACCGGATCAAATCTTCGTTGTCCATGTTGAAATTTCTCGTTGTTTTCTTTCATTCTTCCTAATGAATGTGTTGGTAACCGCTCGAAACATGCTACAATGTTTTCCTCCGCCATTACTCTTTCGTTGGGCAAGGTTGCTCAATGTTTGGGGAAAAAACAGAGCATTAGATGTGGATTTCTGAAAGCTTTCGTAAAAACATTCCGTAAATCCTGTAGCATGTTATGTTCACGTTCTAGTTCCACTCTGATTCAGAATTTCTGTCATTATTTGGAGTGATTTTTGTGTCCACGTATTCTCTTCATGAACTGTTGTGCTAACATATTGTTCTCTTTCAATTTATGTATAGTCTAACGTTCACAATATGTGGTGATTGTTGATTTTGCGAATCGTACCCAAAGGTTTGGTTTTCAAATATTTATTCTGGGAAACAGTTACACACTAATGGACATGTTATGCAAATGTGTATCCACAGACGATGGAATTCGTACTAGGAGAACTGTCGAAAGAGAAACGAGATTGAAATTAACATTTATAAATATAACATATTTTCACGTATCGGGGTTGGCATGGCTAAAAATAACGGGTTCTAGATTAGATGATCGAAAAAAAAATACAAAACTGCATGAGATGCACAAGCAGTGGGGGAAAAGTAGGCATCTAACCTACCAGACTAAAAGAAGAAATTTTGAAAGTATTAAATTATACTTAATAATAATATTTTTCCTGGAAAGGAATATTAAAAATAGTCTCTGCATCGGCTTAATTGCAGAGTTGTATGCGAATTGTCGGCTGACTCCTCATTGCAAAACTTGCCCCTCCCCCCGGAAGAAATCTGTGCGCCACCCATGTGTACCAGACCCTGATAGTGGTCTCCGGTAAGTTTTATCATAGTGTGTGGTAACTGGGTCTGCCTCAGAAGAGCATTGTTGCGAAATCGGCACAAGTGAGAGGAGGGCGGCCAACTTTATGCTCGCGGACAGAGCTCTAGCTACGCATTCATTGGTTTCGAAATTAATTGGATCCGAGAAACGACTCGGACGTGGTTACTTTACCGATAATTGAGCAGCTGTCTTCCAGCCAATAGGCAGTCCTTTTACTCTCAGTAATCCCTCGTCTCGATTCTGAAGTTCTGGTTATAAAGGCACGTACACGCGAATTCGTTAAATTGACTCCAGTATTTCGTAATAATTAGCCATACAATAACAAACAAGAAAAAAACGGATGCATTCTCGTATACTCCTTTCATTGGTGGCTATTAGTTTTTTTTTCTGAAACACGTCTAAGGTGCTGCTGTCCAAAAACAAAAATTAGAATATACAAAACTATAATTCTGCCCGTGTTTCTGAATGGGTGTGAAACTTGGTCTCTGACATTAAGGGAGGATTATAGACTGAGGGTGTTTGAGAAGAGGGTGTTGAGAATATTCGGACCGAAGAGGGATGAAGTGACAGGAGGTTGGAGAAAACTGCATAATGAAGAGCTTCATAACTTGTACTCTTCTCCAAGTATAATTAGAGAGATGAAGTCCAGGAGGATGAGGTGGGCAGGGCATGTAGCACGAATGGGGGAGAAGAGGAATGCATATAAAATATTAGTGGGAAAGCCAGAAGGAAAGAGACCACTGGGGAGACCAAGACGTGAGTGGGTGGACAATATTAAAATCGATCTTAGAGAGATCGGATGGGATGGTATGGATTGGATTGATCTGGCTCAGAACACGAACCAGTGGAGGGCTCTTGTGAACACGGTAATGAACCTTCGGATTCCTATAATGCTGGGAAATCCTTGAGTAGCTGCACAATTGGCAGCTTCTGAAGAAGGGCTCAGCTCCATGAGTGAGTGAGTGAGATGGTGTCATCAGGAGACGGCGACTAATGTCATCGAACACACAAGAATCGTGTTCCGTACTGACGCCTATTAACCATACGGCGTACACTCAAAAAGATTTTCGGCAAACAATTTTTTTCACCAGTAATCATACGACAGGTCCACAGTCTCTTCCAAAACAGTTCCTCCACTTAATGCGATCTAGAGCTTTCTCCTTCAAATAAAAATATCCTCTTCTGTCCCCAAGGTCATCCAGCATCTTACGTCTTTTTCCTCGTCTTCTGGTCGCATACATGGTATCTCTGTTTGTGGAAAGAGACTATCCAGGAAAATACCGCTGGTATAGCTCTCAGGGTCCTTGGCATACTCAAACCCCCTTACCACGATAAGGTGGAGACACCAACAAGGGCGATAAACAATATCTGTTTCATATTCATTTATTGCGACTAAAGTATATTTTGAATTTCGTTTGTAGTGATAATTTTTAACTGAATTTCAATGTACAAGATACATTTTATTTCAATAACTGTAAACATTAATCCCAACTCACTGCCCACTGGCAGATCTACATGAAGCATTCCACCCCACCCCCACTCTCCAGCAACCGCAAGGATATTAACCCTGAATATGGCAATTGGTGTATTTGCCGAAACATTGAAAAGTTTCAGTTCTTTATGCAGCATAATCCCGAAAGCCGAAGTGACACATCTAAGTATCAAGTTTGATCAAAATAATTTAATTTGGAGCGATCATACTTTGACTCGAGGGCCAACAAAGTTACACGGTCGCATTGATCGTCTGGAGACTTCAATGAAAAAAATGATCGTAAATCTGAAGCAAGTCTGAGATCATGCTCGTCTCGTCATTACAGCCTGTTAGGGCTTCGACTCGTGAAACTTGAATGTAAAACTCAGGTTCTTGTGTAATATATTCTTAAATAAAAATAGAACGTCTTTTGCGTCATTGAATATTTTGCTGGAATTAACGTCAGGTTCTAACTTACCGCGTTATACCTACATCTCCATCATGTCGGAATAAATATGTATTTATTAAACAGGAAGACGTAACGCTTATGTAAATCTGTATACAAAAAGATTAAAATTTACCGCAGGGAAATGAAACCATTAAAATTCAATAACTTATGTAAGCAGTAATGCCATTCTAATAACGTGAAATCTCTCCTGTATACTTTTTAGTTTATAAACCAGATTTAAAAGCGCATTAGAGGAAAAGAGATTAACGTAATCTGTAGCGAACAGGTACTTAAAGAGACTTAGCTGTTTAGTTCTTAATTAATAACTGTGATATTACAGATGTCCCATAAAGTTCTAGTCGTTGAAAGTTTGAATTCTCATAAGTTGTTCAGAACTGCGGCTTAATTTCTATAGTAAATACAGGTTGTCCGGATGAAATGTATCCAAAATAAAATAATTATATCTCTGAAAGCATTTATTATAGATATTTATGTGTTACACCTTTACAAAGGGAAACTATCAACATTTTTTCTGACTATATATCTTTCTCGCCGGTCACGGTAGCCGAGAGGTCTAAGGCATGCACTGTCTTCGCTCGCTCGGAAGCCGGGATCGTGGGTTCGGATCTGTTTCCTGTGAGGTACGAACTAAATTCTTATATATTATTCTTATACACAGCCGGTCACGGTAGCCGAGCCGTCTAAGGCATGCACTGTCTTCGGTCGCTCGGAAGCCTGGATCGTGGGTTCGAATCCCACTCAGGGCATGGATGTTTGTGTGCGTTTTTCTGTGTTTGTGTACAGGTAGAGGCCTTGCGACGAGCTGATCACTCGCCCAAGGAGTCCTACCGAATGTGTAAGGTCTAGAAAAACCCAAGTGAACGTAGAAGTTCATGGAGGTAGGCCTAAGCCCACTGGGACTGTAGTGCCAAGGAAAAAAAAATGTATCTTTCTCAATAAATTTCAACGTAGGCTTCCTTGCTGGCACGACAAACATCAAGACGATCCAGCATGTTTGGTATTACCGTAACCACAGCGTCCGTTATGCGGGCTTTCAGGTGTTGCAGGACGTTGATCTTAACCTTGTAGACAATGTTCTTCACATAACACCACAAGAAAAAAAATTCAGTGGGGTTAAATCTGGCGACCTAGGATGCCAAGCAATTCATCCACTTCTGCCGATCTATCTCCCAGCCATCACTCTGTCCAAGTGATTCCTAAGAAGGTGGTAGGCAGCCCCATAGCTCAAGCGGATAGTCGCTGGCTTGCCACCGCCGAGGCCCGGGTTCGATCTCGAGTCTCGTCAAGTGCGATTTGTGGTGGACAAAGTGGCGCTGGGGAAAGTTTTCTCCGAGTACTTCGGTTTCCCCTGCCAATCTTCATTTCACCAATTGTTCCACAATCACTCTCACCTATCATCTAGGGCTGATACAGTAGGCCGGAAGTGGCCACAGTACAAGGGACAGTCCCACCCCACTAGCAATGAAAAAATGGTGGTTGAAATGTGGCGGCGCATGCGCATAATCCGGGCAAGAAAAAAATCTTTCATTTTCCTTCCCGATGACATAAACCGGATACGTGTTCAATAACTTTCTGAGATATGAATTTTTTATTTTGGACACCTTTCATCCGGACACCCTATAAATACTGATACAAAATACCTAAACGTGTAGCAAGTGAACACTATAGCATACTTCCTGTAGATTTCACAGGTTACAAAGCTTGATAAACAGATATTTAAATGGGATTTCAACAGATCCCAATAATATCAACACAAAAAATTATACATGTCAACCGCAGGCTTGAAGCTGTGGACATATTGCTTTAGTCTCTTCCATTTGTGTATTGTCCATCATGCAACATGTGAATAACTAATACATCTTTTTTATTGCAACGAAATTTATTACTTTGGAATTATAATATTGTGACATGTTAAATAGTCAAACAGAGAGTTGATTAAACTGATTAACATTTGACATCGTTCTGAAAACTCAAAGAAGGAATGCGAGAGTATGTAATATTTGAAAGTATCTATTGTTTTTAGACTTATGTGAAAAAAGTCAAACTCTTATAGAGATTAACAAACTGCTATTCATGCCTTAACAGACATTCGTATTGATTTTGGCTTCCTTAAAGAATGCAAATAAATTACACATTTAAAAAAAATTCTTGGAAGTCTGTCGCACGAATGGTCTTGTTGGCAGTTTAATTTCTCAGATATCGGAAAACTTCCTAACTGCATGGGCTACGCGTTAGTAGAAAGGAGTCGCAAATGAAATCAATAAAGGGAACATGTAAGTCGAACTGCAGAGGGAAGAGAAGAATACAAAATTTTCGTGAGTTCCCTTTCGATAATGGTAGCTTAGAAGAAAAAGAAGGAGTTTGGAAGATAACAAAATCTTCCATCTTTATTAAATGGGAGGAGCACGCAGTAGCGTAGTTGATTGAGGTGCTATGCTACAAGCCAGAAGGTCGCGGGATCGATTTTCGATGAGTTCATTGATTTTTTCATCTGACCTAATCTTCCCACCCGCACTGTGGCCATGAAAGCGACTCAGCCTCTGAGAGAACTGAGTACCAGGCGTGTTCCTGAGGAGTAAAGGGCGGCCGGCGCGTAAATCTAACAACCTCATCGCAATCTCTGAACTGATTGTCTAGAAAATATGGGAGCCGCAACGTCTCACAAACCTATGAGCCTTCAAGGTTTGTTACAGGGATAGCTTTAGGGTTTCTTACTTTTTATTAAATGGGTTTGATATTGGGAGAGAAATAGAACTACCTCAGAATCGTATTCAGAATCAGGTTTTGGTTTCAGAGACGCTGAATCATCAGTTCTGATGTCGGGAGGTTTGTTATTTCTGAAATCACAACTAAAACATATAATGAATGTGAGTTCTTTAATGACCATTTCGGTACGTGAGATTTTTACAGGCGTTTGTTTGCAGCTTGGTGTTCCGAATGGTAGAAGCTGAAGAAGAATATATGGAACAGATGGAGGTGTTGGTGTCGTGTTTCTTGAGACCTTTCAAAATGGCCGCCAGTTCTAAGAAGCCACCATGCTCCCATGAAGATGTGAACTCCATCTTTCTAAACAGCGAGACTGTTCTATTCCTCCACCAGATATTTCTCAAGGGCCTTACGTCTCGAATGGAGAGTTGGCCCACTTTGGTTCTTGGTAAGATGACCCATCTGCATCTAACCCCAGCAAACCCAGACTCTTTGTACGGCGAGTGAATTAGAGCGTATAAATTAGAGAAAATATAACTGTGTTTAATATATTTATCTTAGAGTGAAATTGTGTTTCCAGTAACAGCTATACAAGGGCCGCGCCATAGCTCAAGCGGTTAGTCTCTGACTTCCCACCGCAGCGGCCCGGGTTCGATCCCGGGTCTGATCAAGTGGGATTTGTGGTGGACAGAGTGGCGCTCTAGGTCAGGTTTTCTCCGAGTACTTCTGTTTACCCTGCCAATCTTCATTCCATCAATTGCTCCACAATCACCCTCACCTATATCTGGGGCTGGTACAATAGGCCAGAAGTGGCCGCAGTACAAGGGACTTAATCCCACCCCACTAGCAATAAATAAAGACATCTATACAAGTTTAGTAATAAACCAGGGCATAGAGGTAAAGTTAAATCTGACCATGTGCTCAATTAATTATCGTTCCACAAAGATGGAGATGAATGGTCAAGTTCATGCCGAGGCCGCCTCACTCATACCATGAGGCATAAAAATAACAAATAACCCCAAACTTAGACAGTAACACGTGGTAATTTACTTCCAGTTAGTGTAAGAGCGAAACCCGGGCGAGTGACAACCTACAATGAGGGACAAAAACGCAAAAACAACACAGAATTTTACATTCAACGACAAGAGAATTATAAATAATTTAAATTTTAAATTATAAAAATTCTTGCACCTTCGTGACGAGTGCATGTATTGTATAACTGTAATGAGTAGCACTAATGTGGATCCATATTAACACAGTTCAATAGCAAGAGACGTAATTGCTGAGACTGCCTGAAGATGATCCAAAATGTGGACCGAAACATGACGCGACTGCCATACAAAACCAATGTGAGCACTTCGATTGGTTTTATTTTGCTGTAGCGTTGACGGTCAAATGCCACCAAGCCATTTAAAAGCTTGATTAATATCCAGTAGGTTCGTTAGTCCCTTCAGCTGCTGAGTCAGCTTGTTAATTCGTGTGTCAATATGTCAGTCAGTTATTTCTCGTGTTTCTCCGGTTCTTTGACAGTTAATTTTTAAGTAAATCGGAAACGCTAGTCAGTCAGACAGCCAAGTAGCAAATTACTTCATTTCTTAGTCAGTTAATTACTCTGCCAGTTTGTCTGTTAGTTATTCAGTACGAAGCAAGTTTTATCGTCGGTTAGAACAGAATAGAATAAATTTGATAAAAGGGATGAGCTTTAAAAGACCCTTGCACAGCACCGATCTTCAAACTGCTGAACACCCCCGTTCTAACATTTAGCCCAGTGATTTGCTTAATGGGGCATTGTGATAGTCATTTCTTTTAAGGAGAAGGATCCCCAGGTGTCAGTACCGTAATTCAGCCGGGGCATTGCAGTCACAAAAGGCTGACACTTTCTCATAGGTGAGACTGTTTACCAATATCAGTTTTCATAGATGTACCATATAAGTGTCCTATTAATAGTCCTGTCAATTGTCTTAAGTAATTCCTATATCTCCTTAGTTATTTAATTATGTTTTGTTTTGTTAGAAATTGAATAATTTTGTATTTAAATTAGTTAATTATATTTTTCAAATAATCATTTCCTCCATTCTTACGCTTGTTATTAAGACGCTGTAAGAGTGTAGGCTGTATAATGTCAAAGTATGTGTTTATTAATGAATGGTGACTTGAAAGATTTTGGAAGAAAGACATAGTGGCATAATCGAAATACTATTTTACCATTTTCCTGGGGTAAAACCACGAAAAATCTCAGTTACTACAGCAGAGATTCGATCCGAGTACATGCCAAACACTATGAAGAAGTGTTACGCTACAGAGTTCTTACTTTAATTAGTGAAGATGTTGCTTTGTAGTGAGACAGTCGTCTGTTTTCTTATGCGGGTGCTCTGATGTCCAGGGGACCTGTTCGACATGCTGTTACCAATGCTCAGCATCTATCAGGAGTACGTACGCAACCACCACTACAGCCTGCAGGTTCTGACGGAGTGCAAGCAGTCCGCCCTGTTCGCCGCCTTGCTGGCGAGGCTAGAGAACAAACCGGCTTGTCAGGGGCGCAGCCTGGAGATTTTCCTCACCTACCCCATGCACCAGGTTTGAGGCTCTACTGTCCCTCTTTTATTTGGGATCTAATTTCCTCGATTGTAGTTATTCGATTTAAAGACATTTATCTATGGTGCTGAGTAATTCAGAAGACCTCGAGGAAAGAAACCTAGTGGATGAGACGGAAACAGGTCTCAGAGAAAAGGGTTGTGTGGCCATTGGCTCAGCTGAGTCAGTATGGGGCCCAGTGGTTGGCTTTAGTGTACACGGTAATAATACTTTGTTTCCACGAAAGCAGGGATGTCTTGCCAACTTAGCTACTGCCAGATTTTTAATAATGACCAGAATTGGGTTTGTTTGTTAAACTTTAATCATTATAAGTTATAATTTGTGGAATTTAGTTTTTACTATTCTTTTTGTCTCAGACTCTGACACAACAGAAATGAGAATGCTTGAACATAGAACAATGAGGATTATACCTTTATGTTGATATCATAAGCAATTTGTAGTGGAGGAATGGGAAAAATTACCTAACGACGAGCTTAATAATTTATATTATTACCGTAATGGAATCAAGAATGATGAGTTGGCTAGACATGTTGAATGAATTGAGGGCAGACTGCATGCAAGAAACCATTACACAAACGGAAAATTTATTTCAAAGAGGCCACTTTGGAAGTAGGGTTTTGTTTCTATATTACTTTTCTGCGCTTTTAGTAATGCATACTGAGCTTCGTATAATTAGGATGATAGATGAAAATTAGAAAAGATTTGGAAGGGAGCGTTAATGAGATAATTGAGTTCTTTCCCCTGAATTTGCCTGAGAAGACGAAGGAAAATCGCGAGGAATCTGTCAGGATAGCCAATGTCATGGCGAAAATTCCAAACGAGCACCTGAGTGTACGAGTATTATTATTATTATTACTAGTGGGACCTATTGTGGGGCTAGTGGCCTATTGTACCAGCCCCAGATGATAGGTGAGGGTGATTGTGGAGTAATTGGTGGATTGAAGATTGGCAAGGGAAACCGAAGTACTCGGAGAAAACCTGCCCCAGCGCCACTTCGTCCACCAAAAATCTCACTTGACCAGACCCAGGATCGAACCCGGGCCGCCGCGGTGGGAAGCCAGCGAGTATCCGCTTGTGCTATGGCGCGGCCTCGGGCTAGAAACTAAGGCGTATGTGTCTATAATTTATGTGTTTCTTCATTCCGTTATATTCATTTTAATATCTTGCCGTTTACTATTACAACTATTTGTGTGATGTTTTCCTACGACAATGTACGTATTTCCGTTCGTTCTGTTGCAGATCCCGCGATACATCATCACACTGCACGAGCTTCTGGCACATACTCCACATGACCACGTGGAGAGAAAGAGTCTGCAGAACGCAAGGCAACAGCTGGAGGACCTTTCGAGACAGATGCACGACGAGGTGAGGACTTCTTCCTCTGGAGACTGCACGACTGCTCGCTCCAGGCGCATCTCAAAGTAACATTCATACAACACTCGATTCGTGTTTTCATATCCTGTTGCTTCGGTCATCAGTCGCTTTCAGAATCGGCAGTCGGAATTTTTCAGTAGTCTGTTTGACTTGCGGCGACGTTACGTCATCTTCGGTACTAGAAGCAGTATTGGTTGATAAAAATTATGATAAATATAAGGCATTTGTTTTCATGTGCGCATTAACTGAACAGTTATTTTAAAGAAATAGGGCTGTAACGAAAGGGATCAGCAGAACTGCCATATAATTGATTATGAAAACAAATACAAACTTAGGAGAAATTTTTGTGTTGCTTCATTACATGTATCTGCTCCATTGCGCAAAGAAATTCATCGGTAACATTAAATTACAGCCACTGTATGCCCTGTCTGGGTTTAAGTACTTGTTTAATAAATTTGTATTCATCGAAATTAATTAATTTTAGGTGGGTAATGAATTTTAACCGTTTTCGTAAAAATAATTTCCTTAGTTTTACTTTAATAATTTTCCAACACTACATTTAATATTCCTAGAGAATTCATGTCATTCGTAAACATTTGTTGTTTCGGTAGAATTGGTTGAGATTAATTCAACGCAAAACATTTCATTTTGTGTTAGTTAAGTGGTCGTTGTATGTCCTTTACATTTCATCCAAACGTCAAATTTAACCAAAGTCACAGATGATATGTAGGACTATATTAACACACACACACACACACACACACACACACACACACTGACACACTGATTTCTAATTTCGTTCTTTCTGTGTTCTTGGTATTTAAACACGTTTAGAATAAAACAAATGCACTGGTCGATTATTTACTCTGTTATTTGTAATCTACTTTAAATTTTACTGATACTCTTCCTTGAAGGCATTGAAAATGAAATCAGAATCAATATTTAAAATATCATCAGGTATACGGGGTTTGAGTGACTAATAATAATGTGTTCTGGATTAGATGAATGGATTTATTGGCACTTGTTTACAATTACAATCAGTTATGATAGCTCACAGTCAGTGCGTGTCTACGACTCGCTCTATTCCTAACTGAACCACGAGAGTCTTCTCTTCTGCTGTGACGAACGACGAACGAAGAGTCACTGCTCACACATTGAACTCTCTTCTGAACTGATTATGACTCCTTCATAATTTTCAGGTAGTCCGAATATAGGTCACAACCTCGAAGAGTTAATTGTCCTGCTCTCATATTAAAACATTTTAATATTTTTCAAGACATAAATATTTGGCTGAGACATTGAATGGCCCTAGTCTTGGTCTTATCACAGAAATTCGCGTGGCCATAAAATTTTGGTTGTGTCCAATGGCGTGACCTTAATACAGGCTTTGGGCCGCGCCGTAGCTCAAGCGATTAGTCGCTGGCGTCCCACCGCGGCGGCCCGGGTTTGATCCCGGGTCTGGTCAAGTGGGATTTGTGGTAGACAAAGTGGCGCTGGAACGGGTTTTCTCCGAGTACTTCGGTTTCCCCTGCCAATCTTCATTCCACCAAATTTTCCATCATCATTATCACCCGGGACAGGTACGATAGGCCAGTCAGTGGCCACCGTGCCGAGTGAACCCAGTTGGACTCCACCCTCCAATAAACGAATTAAAAAAAAATAAATTAATACAGAACTTCATGAATTGGCAAATTTGATAAAAATTTTTTTTTTTCGTTTAATTTAGGGCAAGTATTTCTTCTTCAATAAGTTAATATTTTGTGTGTAAATAATTTTCCTCTTAATAATGGCAAAACATTGATTACTGGCTTTTGTTTTACGTCTCACTGATTTAATGACACCATTTCAGCTTAATGTGCTAGATTTGACGTTGTAATAGAAAGGGCTATGAAGACTTATGTCTTCCGGGATACAATGCTTTGCAGTCCAGTGAAAGCCAGCTTATATTTCGGAGTAAATTACTGCCTCCAGACTCTACACTTATGAAAGGGTGTGTTTGTGTTCGTAGGTAAATCAGAGTAGATAGTGGACTTTACCTTTGGTGAATCATTTTGTCCCACGTTTCTCTATTAGGAAATTTCTCATTACATACACCAACTGTAACACTGGTTGCATCATATTTCTGTATCACGCTCTATGTCGATTACGTGACTCTACTTTTTCTATACTCCAGAAATTGAAATTTCCCATTTTAATAAATAATGTATGAGAAGTCTCTGTTCTGGTTTTGTATCTGATAAAATGTGACTTACGAAGAAAATTAAATTTATGGTGCATAATTCTTACTTCCAGATCGTTCATATAAAAATTTACGTAAATCTTAAACAATAAGTGCAAGATGCAGGAGATTTGTAACGGAACGTTGTGCTAGTGAGTATATATAGAAATAATGAGAAAATACAGATCGTCAAAGCAACGAGTGTGATAACTTGGAGCATGTAAAAATACAACGGCTAAGATGAATTTGTTGAGAGATGGAGGAAAGGCTTTTGAAGGGAGGGTCTTGGAATGACCGGCAGTTAGTCAGCTGGGAAACGAGCGAAGTCTGAAAATGGGAAGGTATCAGAAAGAAGAAAAGAGCAACCTAAATTAATATGACTGACTTATTTTCTTGGTAATGACGCATTTTATTAAATCGTCAGAGAATATATATCCCAATTCGAAAATTAAAATCGAGATATACAAGTATAAGAACTAGTTTAGTGTTTTTTTGTTTTTTTTTCGGGATGTTCTCCGTAATATTCTCACGGTAGCCCTACAGAAACCACAGTTAACCGTAACATGACTTAGAGACGCATGAACACCTATGAATATAAATTCATGTGTGCATGTTTTTATGTAAATCTATATTTTAAGTGTTTATAAATTTGTTAGTGTTCACTGATTTTCTAAGTTTTAAAGTGTTAAATGGAATTGGTGTATATCTGTCTGTCACCCTCTCTATATATATTCTTAGTTTTAAGTGAAAGCCAATCTCTAGAATGATTTCAATTTAAAACAGTGGTTCTCAAACTTTTGGTTCTACGTGTTTAAATTGGCTCCATATAGATTATAGCTGTTTTAGCCAAAGAGTTTGGAACTGGAATTGTCTCTACTTCTTCTAAAATACGTAGAAGATTGCTTCTCTCAGGCAAAATTTTTAGACCCATTAATAGGCGAGGGTATTATGATAATAATACGATATCCATTCTCACATTCCGTTTCTAGATTTCCGAGCGAGTTGCCAGAATTTTAGAAACTTGCTAGAGTTAATGGATCTCAATAATATCTTAAATTGGAATACGTAAATAATTTTAACAATCTGCTTGGCGTTTCCTTAAGTTTAAGTATATAAATCATTGTACAACAGCTTTCTTTCTCAATTATAGCGTTTGTTCTGCGTAAATTTGGATATTGTAGTTTCTTTAATTTTTTGTAGTGGACTTCTAACAGTAGGATAGGGATTAATTTACGAGTATATTAAGGTTCTTCCGCAAATACAGTCTGTCGGTTAATGTTGTTTATGGATACATTTTCTGGTTATTTTTATGAATAATGAGAACTCATTAATAAACTAAGTAGGCAAGTGGCAAGAGAATGAACATGAAAACGCTTCACTGTAAGGAGCTGTAGAGCAGTAGAATATTACTGGGTTTGGGTCGTCACAGCGGTAACTATGAAGAGTACTGTGTTCTAGGATGTGACGCCGTATAGTCTGGTATAAGTTCACTGTCGTTTCAGAGGAACGTATTTTTTTCAATTTCGGGGTCAAAGACTAAACCAAGCCAACAACTAGCAAGGCGCAACCATCATGAAGAGCGTTTTGCTTTCTGCTTGCTTCCTGCTGCTCGGATGCTTGGCTTAGTCATACAAGAGGCAATATGTTCTTCCGAAACGTCAGTAAACTTCTACAAGACTACACTGAGTCACAGTGTAGAATATAGAACTCATAATGGAACACTGCCTTTCAGGATTTGTAGACAAGATTTCCAGAGGGGTAGCTTTCTTTACTTTAAGGATATTCGGTTTGAATTGAATTTAGTACAGCCATAAGAAAACAAGTGGGATGTGATGCCGATCACGTTGAGCCATTCGACTTGATAGTACGAGCCCCACAACCAACAGATTTTTCTCTCCTCAATTCTAGAAATTGAACGATGGGTTACCCCTACATCACGCGGCAACTTCTCCGGCTGCTGTGAGGAGCACGTAGTATAGATATAATGTTGCAGGCGCTCCCCGTATTCCTCAGAGAAACCTGTTCACACCGGTAACCACTGCTACTCTAATCCTTGGAAGGGGGTTCAGACGAGTTTAAAGTCCCGAAGAGAAGAATATCGTTAAAAATCATGCAAGGCTTCAATAGAAGGATGAAAAATCACTTTCTACATCATTATTCCTAAAAGATAAATTTGTCCCTGTGCTTAACTAATTAAACACTACGCCATTAAGGCGTATTGGGGAGTGGATATATAGATCCACATTTTCTCGACCTCGGCACTAGTTGGAGGTGAGTGGCCAGCTTCATGCCACAGCCGCTTTGCCTCCAGGAAAGAGCTCCCTCTACTCATTGTATAGGAGGTTGTATGGACCCCAGTGCCGGTCTGGACGATTGGAGAAGTGAAAAATTCTTGATCCTACCGGGACTCGAACACCGAACCCTCGGTTTTTCGGTCCGTAGCCAGTCGCTATACCGACTGAGCTATCCCGGCTCCTACATCATTATAACTAAGTTAGTTAAAACTGAGTTAACTTAATATACGTATGTAACAACAGGTTCCACGTAATTAGGTCACTGCTTTGTACAGCTACACAACTCCTGCATCATATTCGAATAACATTGGTTCCAAACCGCGGCGCGGGGACCGGCCATCATAACTGTGATTTTTATTGTTTCTTCACGGGCCATTCAGGAGAATCTCGGGCAAGTACACAGAATTATGACGCTAACTTTTCTTCCACATCCTTTCTATCAAACGTTGCTCGTGAGCGGTTAATTCGCTTAGTGGGGGGTGGAGTCCAACTGGGACCACTCGGTACGGCGGCCACTGATTGGCCTATTGTAGCCTGCCCTGGGTGATTATGGTGATGGAGAATTTGGTGGAATGAAGATTGGCAGGGGAAACCGAAGTACTCGGAGAAAACCCGCCTCAACGCCACTTTGTTCAGCACAAATTCCACTTGACCATGAAACCAGCGACTAACCGCTTGAGCTGTGGCTCGGCTGTCATATTCGGGAGGTCCCAGTTTCAAATTTCGATACAGAGACAGGATATCGTGACTGAAGTTCTCATGGTTATTCTCAGTCTCACCACCCAAATACCTCGATTTAAACGATGGCCACTTCTTTCCACTGTCCAGTAGTCATTGCATCATTCATCGCTTATACTGCCACGGTCAATAAGTTCCTGGAATGGCCGCGAAGCGTCGTACGGGAATTTACTGCCAGTATGTTTCAGCAAAGTTTTCGGTAGCTATATCAACGTTGGCAGACTTGCATAGCGGCCAACGGCAACTATTTTTGAGGGCTGATGTGGATCTGTAAGTGTATGTGAATACCTTGTAATATGATGCGATTAAAACCTCATTCCACGAACTTAATGACTCTACCACGTTGAACCCGCGACATTCCAGCTTGTAGCATAGTGCCTCCACCAACTACGCTACCGCGTGCCCCTAATATCAGGATAGTACCCTGAAATAATCCACTACCGTTTAATTCCACATATTTTCAAAATTATTCTTCATTAGTCACCCTATCAGTAAGCGCTATATAGCCGAAGTTACTGACATCTTTAAATGCAACGTACGTGAATATGTAGGTTAAAAATCATCTCAGTATCTCAATAAAATCAATACTCATATGAAGGATAAATAAAAATGTTACGTGTCTTAGAATAAGTGATAAAGTGATATTCGTGACTATCTCGCCTCAGGAGCCTCCGCGCTTAGCGTGCTTTTATTATTGATGATAGAAATTAAGAAGTACAGTAATAGTTAATTATAAGTTTCGCGGAGGTGTGTCAGTTGGTTCATATTTATTTTGGGGGCGAGATATACAGTGAGGCACAGGGATACAACAACACGTAGCTGCCATGAACCTAGATTTCTCCACAGAAATCTGTGAAACTGGACCATGTTTGAGAACCGCTGAAATATTATGTTTTTTATAGAGTCGCGTGTTTCATATATATATGTAGGTTGAAATGTAGTTTAGTGTTTGAATTTTGTAATATATTTACAAAACTGTTTTAAATTTCTCAATAGATACTCAGTGTTTCCATATTTCTATACGGGTAGCCCTTAAAAATCTTTGTAGCAATAATATACGGCCCTGGAACCATCCAATAAATAGCAATAATATTTTGCACAAAATGTTTTCATGTTTGGTGGTAACAAACAGGCTTTGAAATTAAGTGCTGCAATAAATGATTAATAGTTGTCATATCAATGCATTTCTCTTTTGTATATTTGATACACGCCATCACTCCATGATCCAGTTTCACCCCCCTTTGCAGATATGACTATGCTTTAAGTAATTGCTGATGTTTACTTAAAGTTCTACGTGTAATTTTCAAATTAGGAACGGACGCCTTATGTGGAAGTTACGTGTGTCCATCGGTCTGTGGCTGGGAGATGGAGCTATCATACGACCAGCGCCTCGGCCCTTAAATTCAGGCTCAGNGAAAAGAGACGGGGGGGGGGGGGGCTCGTGTGAAGTCTCTAGTGAAATGTCTGGCTACTTAAAAGCAGGAAATTTCTAGACAACCTGAACGAATATTGGCTTCTCAAGAATGGCTCTGCTCCATTGATTTAGTACACTTAGGCGATACTTTATGTTTTCTAGGCACAAATCCTAGTCTTATAAGTGTTCTATACAGACTTTCTTTAATTTGAAGGTGTAGACTAGTGCATTATGCTCTGTTTATCTCTGTTACGCGATTTTCATATGACCAGGACCATAAGCAACTTACTGTTGAAGAATGCCGTCTTATGGGATGTGGGGCTGTGTAGATATTGTATTAACTGACGTTTCGGAGGAAGGTATCGCCTCCATTTTCAGGTTATAAGAAATCCGCGAGCGATGAACCAGCGTGAGTAGGTGCCTGACTCAGTCTACAGACACCTGCTGAAGCTGGTTCATCGCTAGTGGGTCTTTATACCCTGAAGATGGGGGCGTTACGTTCCTGCGATACGTCAGTTAACAAAATATCTAACGGCGCCACATCCCAGAACACGGCATTCTTCATAGTCACCGCCGTGAAAACCTCATATCTTATATAACTTACTATTATTTTCTTAAATTATTTATTCCATTTTAATTAATTTTCATATATCATTGAATTTATATAGCGTTTCTCCGAATGGTTCTATTATAGGAAGAATCCCTGGTACGGGAGTGACGGTGACCTATGTGAAGTAACTATGCCGGAACTCTCTTGTGTTGCGAGGGGAATCTCAGGGACATTGTTAGCCCCTCCCATATCCCGAACGATCTTATCGAATACGGGCCACTCTCGATTTCACCTGTCCGCACGACATACTTTAGGTCTACCGCCGGTTCATGACCTGAAGTTTGAGAAACACTGAACTTTACTATTCCAACCAAGGTGTCGTGACTGCAAAATTTGCAAAGGGCCCTGATGACGGTGAAAGACAGTTTTAATCACTGAGTTTTCTGCCCCTTGTCCGTTGCCTAGCATTCTGAACAGGACACAGTTTAAAAAATGGATTTTTTTATCCACGGGTGGAAATATGGGAAGGCACCTATACAGTTGAAGAATGCAGTCTTCTGGGATTTGGCACCGTGTATATGTGCCAAATCCCAGAAGACTGCATTCTTCATAGTCACCGCCGTGAAAGCCTCAAATCTTACACCTATACAGTTGTTTTCTTCAGGCGCTGCACTCATTGACTGGCTATTTCTCAAGGAAATTACTGGACCAAGAGATTAAGATTAGCTCTTTCAGAGGGGCCAGAGTGGCTAAAGCATTGGATCCAGTGGCTGAGAGTGCCGCTTTCTGACCCAGTCAGTGGACACGACAACTGAGACTAGGTGTTCGTAACGAAATCAGCTAAATATATCCATCCGTCTTCTCATCTGAGAACGGAAACGTTGTGCCCTGTTCGGAATCATAGACGACACACAAAGGCATGAATCTGCGTGATCTTAACTGAAAAATTCATGCCAGGCAATTGTTAACCTGTATATACAAATGAGAAGGGGCAACAGGGATAGTCGATACCGCGGCACCATGCTTGCAGTGGGACATCGCTTCTTCTTGGAATGTGGAGGTTAAGTATCAAAGCCAAACGCTCTATGTGTTTGTTTGTTATGGGCAAACAGGTGAGCGAGACTGAAAACCTGAGGAAGAACTTGGCTGTGGAGAGAATGATTGTGGAGGGCTGCGACATTCTGCTGGACGTCAATCAAGTGTTCGTCCGACAGGGTGAGTCACTGCCCTAGAATAGTCGTTCATTTCAATTTTATCTTACTTCAATCCTACATCTTTCATAATTCTCTAAGCTCGCTTTTTTTATTATGCTATTCTGTTAAATAATGTAGCTTTGAATGAATTTATCTTCTGGCTTACTTGGGCTGTCAGAATTTCTGACTATGGGCATGTACATGACTACTGAATAATGAAGTGGAATAGCTCCGTGGCTTTAGTCCGCAAGCAAACTATAAAAACCCGATCATGTATTTAGTGCGGAATATAGCGGGGGGAACAGATAGAAACAACGAAACACCTAAATCAGTATAGCCAGTCTACGGCCCGAGATTCGAACACTGTATCTCCCGAATACGGAGCCTGAGAGATAGCAAAGTGATTGAATTAAATATAAAATTACATAATTATAAATGCTGATGTTTAAAAAAAGCCGGTAACGGTAGCCGAGCGGTCTAAGGCATGCACTGTCTTCGCTCGCTTGGTAGCCCGGATCGTGGGTTCGAATCCCACTCAGGGCATGGATGTTTGTGTGCGTTTTTCTGTGTTTATGTGTGCAAACCGAAGTGAACGGAGTTCATGGAGGTAGGCCTAGGCCCACTGGGGCTGTAGTTCCAAGGGGGGGATATTTAAAAAAATGCGGAGAGAAATATCCAAAGCATACTTGATGATATTTCGAAATTTGTCTCGAGATATGCAGAAAAATCGCAAAAACTTGAGCCAATATCTTCAAGCTGTAGGTAAAAAGTCTGGAGCGATTACCTTTCAGACATGTTTTAATCAGAATATTGTAATGCTCTTGGTAATCTTGCCATTCAAATCTAGCCTGAATAATTTCACGACAGACACTTTCCTGAGAAGTGTAGTTCGAAAGTAATACTCTACATACAAACACCCAGCCACAAGAAGCAACAAAGTGAATAGCTTTTCTATCAAACTGACACGTTTTCATAAGCTTCCGTGCTCTGTCAAATGTCCCTTCGCTTATTTCGCATTATGTGGAATTCAGACTTCTTATGTTGGCCGCCCAAGAAGTTCCTGTATGTCGAGCGCTCCTATGTTTCGTTTCGCTCTACGTAGCCTTCTTCATGTTCCGCTACTCCTTTCAATGAATGGATCTGACTTAGCGATAATTCTTGAGACTCGTATTCGGTAAATGCTCGGTTCGATTCTCTGCCGGGACAGCTCTTATCCTCACTGCGGTTTTCTGTGCTTTGCCTGCCTGTGTCGACATTGTACTCTGATTGCACTAAGGTCACTTCCTTCTAAATCCTTTTCAGTTCGTCTTTCATCGACCATCTCGCCTTTCGACGCCATATTGTCTGTGCAGTGAACGAGTTGTAAAATAGCTCAGCACTATACGCTTCTATTTCTTTATATTCATCGTTTTTTGCATGTTAATCTCTTTTCTTTCTTGCCTTCTTTCTGTTCGTCTCTGTCGCTTTATTTCTTACATTCTTTCTTTCTTCTCCTGTCACAGGCTAAACGTCTTTAGTGTTCGTGGACTGTAGAAGGAATATTTACATGGAAAGAGGGCAGTTTAGGCCGATTTACTGAAAAATACGCTACAAAATTCAGTTATCATCATGGTTTTAAGGACGACATAACATTCGAAACACAGAGCTGTAGCTGAACATAAGATATTTTCGATGCCTGTTAATTATCCCCGAAGAAATTAAATATAATTCGACACTCTTTTACTGTGAAGATGGAGGCGACATCTTTCTCCGAATCATCGATAAATATCATACTGCACGGACTCACATTCAAAAAGTTTAAATAATCTGTCCTTGAACGGGGATTAACGGAATAAACTGTTTAAGTTCTACCAGTGTGTCCAATGTTTGAAATGTGCATTGCAAGTCTGGAAACTTCTCAGACAAATGTAGCACGCTTGTAGTCTAAAACTTTAAACAGAGTGTAGACATATATCCATTCGAACTGCGCAGGGTAGCGAAAACTAAGTAGTTTTCGCAATTGTTCGTTTCAAACCCAGCTAGACGGAAGACGGTTCAATATCTTTGGGGAGACAAGTCGAGGATCAAGAGCGATGCGTTACAATAAGAGAAACATTCTGCTGGAAATCACACACACACTGTGAAACTGGATGGGAAGTTCAACCCGCAATTAATAACGGGATAAAATAAACGAACTGCTTTAAACAGAAATGAATATTTTGTGTTAAGTGGAATTTTGAAGAGTACTATCTTCTGGGATATAATACAGTGTAGCATATTGAAAGTCAACCTGCTCTCAACTTGGTACCTTGCCCAGCTTATTTTACCCTGAAGATGGAGGCGATATTTTCTTCCGAAACGTCGGTTGACTTTCGACGGACTATACGGAATTATTTCCCAGAAGATAGTGCACTTTATGAACACCGCTGTGAGAACCTCAAATCCTACAAGTGGAATTTTAATCAGGAAAAATTAAACGATAGTGTCGAAGTTCTTATAGCAGTATATATTAATTTAATTTGTTCTGTTTTTTTAAAATTTTATATATCATATGATTTTCGTTTTAAATTTAAAATTTCAATTTATAATCCTTCGATATGTATTCAAATAATTTTTGCTTCTTATTTTTTGAAACTTTCGGTATTGGAGAATATATAACGAATGGTAGGTTGATATATAAATGATGAATTGGAAAAGATCTGGAAGGACACGATCGTTGCCTATCCCTAATCTGCCACGGAGGGGTGAGAAATGTTATGGAAAGCCTCCTTCAAGACAGCAGGTCTTGCAGTCGGAATTCGAAACGAGATCCTCCCCGATAGAAGCCTACAGCATTAACACTAGACCGATCTGCTCTGCTCTTGGAAGAAAGTTCCGGTACCTTTGTTTCAGACGGTATATTACCGGAAATTTAAAAAGCCTCTTGAAGTACTAATTCATGTTCCAGCCTGAAGAACAGTACCACGAGTACCCAAAATTTTGTAGAATCTTGATCCTATTATTATTATTATTACACGTATTATTATTTCTGTACAGCCCTTTGTTGGACCTTGGAGGGCTTTTGAGTTTCTCGATCCTATATACAGTAGGTCCGGTCTAGAAAACCGAGCTTAACGGCCGTGGGGATTCGTTGCGCTGACCACGCGACATCCTCTATCCGGTAAAGTTGGCACTAACTTCGCCGGCAAGCGGTGGTCGCTCGGTCGGTATAGTTCGCTTGCGGACTACAGGACACGGGCTTTATACACAGTAGGAATCCTTGGGCGGGGGATCAGCCCATCGCAAGGCCACTACCTACACACAGAATAGCATAAACATAATAAATGCACACAATAAAGACATCCATGCCTTGAGTGGAATTCGAACCCACGATTCCAGCTTTAGAGAGAGCGAAGATATCGCGACCACTGTGTTCGGCTTGATCCTGTTCCGACATACTTTTTTTGTTACTGAATGAACTGTTGTAATTTCCCCGCTTTCCTAAATAGTCTGTACCGAAGCACTTAAGTTGCTGTTTCTTATGTGACATCCATAACAAGCTGCGTATATGTTTGGTTAATCTTCCATAAGCTATCCCTATAACAGTCCGTGAAGGCCCATAGGTCTGTGAGACGTCGAGGCTCTCACGTTTTCTCTATACAATCGACTCACAGATGGCGGTGAGGTTGTCAGCCTTACGCGCCGGCCACTCTGTACCCCGAGGAATATTCCTGGTGCTCATTTCTGTTAGAGGCTGAGACGACCCCAGGACCATATTGCGGCTGGAAGGAATAGGTAAACGGAAAAAATAATCCGATGTCCTCATCGGGATTTGAACCCGCTACCTTCCGGCTTGTAGCATAGCACCTCGACCAATTACACTACCGCGTGACCCCCTGCATACACTAATGAAGATGAAAAGGCTACTTTGGCCAGGAATCGAATACCATTCGTTCAGAACATAGCCCGGAGCTGCACTGCCTGAGTTATCGTGTTTCATCTTTAAAGCCTCATAATCTTGGTGCGTTATATCCCCAGAATTAGAGGCACAAAATCTGCAAATTACGCTGCAGAGACAGAAGCAATTTTAGACAGATTGTCTTGTTATAATTTTGTATTCGTCCGAGCTTATGAAACCTGAGTAAGCCCTTATATATCCTTAAACTGAGTTAGAACCTTCCTAGTTTAAATCTCAAATGAACCTGATTCAGATTCCGGTCTCGTGGTGGCAGCAGCTTACACGGTCCCATGACTGGTACGTCTGCACCCACCTGAAGCGGTGGAGATGACATGAATCCCCGTTGCTTGTTACCGACACTGAGTGATATGCGCATCTTTCAACGCGTTTAAAAATTAGGCTTCCGTCTTTGATCGATATTACTGCCTGTGTAATGTAATATATAACGTGGGTAGAAGCTTAAACTAAATTATTCGAATTTTGTGCAATATACTCATAAAGACATAAGCAGGAATTGATTGATCTCAATTTATTTTCGTCTACAAGAGAGCAGAATAAATTGAATGATCTAAAATGTATACATTATGGAAGAATTAACAGTTTAAGCCACAAACCTCCTTCCCACCTCATATCTAATGACGTAACTATTAAAGTATACCAAACCATAACTGTGCCTGTTATTTTGTTTGGGTATAATACTCGTATTAGTTCCGGGGAGACGCGGTAGCGTAGTTGGTTGACGGAATATGCAACAAGCCAGAAGGTCCCGGGTTCGATTCCCGATGAGATCATTGAAATATTCAATTGACCTAAACCTTCCAGCCGCACTACGACCCTGGGATCAACTCAGCCTCTTAACAGAAATGAGTACCAGGAATATTCCTAGGGAGTAAAGAGGGGCCGGCGAGAAAGGCTGACAATCTCACCGCCATCAGTGAGCCGGTTGTCTAGAGAAAATGTGGGAGCCTCTACGTCTCTCAACCCTATGGGCCTCCACGGCCGGTTACAGGGATAGCTTCACCTTTTATGATACTTCGTCTGTCACATGAGGTGTTTAAGAACAGAGTAATGTTGAGAATATTTGGCCTAAAAATGAAAATGGCTTT